CCCCCCAATAGCTAGCAATCCAAAACAGTCCAGTGGAGCCTGAGCAGTGGGTGTTGCCTTCTGACACACTTCCGGTGATGGCAGGGAGTGTGGCATATGCTAATGAGTTATGCTAATGAGCTCCTGCACCTCTTTTTCTACGAAATGACCCCTGCTCACAAGGTTGTTGTGAGGATACAATGGAGGAGAGGAGAATAGTGTCAAGTTGCTTTGGGTCCCCATTGGGGAGAAAGGTGGGGTACAAATGAATTAAATAAATATCCACGCCCACCACTTTTACAAATTTAGTATGCCTTTTAAGACACATTGTTACTTCTATCATGTAATTATTTAAAATAAAAATTATTGAGTGTAAAATACTCCAAAACTCTACAAATATTCCAAAGAACCTAGAAAAACAGCACCCCGTCAATCATGAATAAAAGTTGTAAAATATGTTTTTCTGTAGGTGGTAGGGATTTAGGGCCACTCCCAGGCTGCCTGGGGAACTTGTATACTTGAACAAGAAAAACCAATAAATAACAACTGTGCACTGACCAACCCACCCAAGAGCAATAGAAAAGAGACTTCAATACAAAAAGTAATTCAATGCATGTAATCCATCATAGGACAATACACAAATTCATAATATCCCCAAGGGGAAGAACAAAGTCCAGAATAACAATCTCTCATAACAAACAAGTCTGGAATAGATGTCCACAATGAAGTCAGATGTCCACCACTTTTCAACACTTATCCTAGGTATAAATTAGTGTTTCGGACTTCAGGTCCTTCCTCAGGAGCTACAAGCCAATACTGTAAGTCTCTTAGCAGATTCTTAATAGGTAAACAATCATTCAGGTTTTATATGGGCCAGGTCTCCTAAATTTTAGAAAGCACCTACAAGGGTTGCTAGTGAGAAGAGGGAGGGTAAGTTGCTTCCTCCCCGCCTCTCCCCACCCCTGCCTGCCTGGGGCCAGGGAGGGCCTTGGCAGGGCTTCCTCGCACTCCCGCCGACCTTGCAGGTCCACCGCCGGGCCCCTGATGCCAGGGGGTGTGGCATATGCTAATGAGTTATGCTAATGAGTTTCCCTAGCTCTTTTTCTACGAAACGATCCCTGCAAGTACATGTGTGTTTTGTGCGTTCATCTTAAAAAACTATTTATGAAGGGCCTTGAGGGAAGAAAACCTAGAGCACACTCTGGGGCCTTTCCCCCCCTCAAATAGGGGTGTCAACCACCAGGAGGTCACTGGAGAGCTCCTGGGATTACAACTGGTCTCCAGGTGACAGAGATCGGTTCACCTGGAGAAAATGGCTGCTTTGAAAGTTGAACTGTATGGTATTATACCCTGCTGAGGTCTTTCTCCTCCAGTCTGGTGTAGTGGTTAGGTGTGCGGACTCCAATCTGGGAGAACCGGGTTTGATTCCCCATGTAAGCCACTCTGAGACTCCAAGTGAAGGGCGGGGGATAAATCCAATCTCTTCTCTTCTTCTTCATTAAACCCCACCATCTTCAGGCTCTACCCCACAGATCTCCAGGGATTTCCCAACCAAGAGTTGGCAACCCTACCCCTCAAATATATGCGATGTCAAGAGCTTTCCTTTCTCTCCTCCCTCAGCTACTCTATAGGAGGATCCAATATGCTCAATGGGATTGCCTGCCACCAAGTTCCACAAGCCTCAATACCCAGGTTGGCCCATATGAGTCTCAAGATAATGCAGAAATGGGAGAATGGTGATAATAATTTTGTGATGGGGGAAAAAATGGCTTAATGAAAAGACATAGAATTTGGTTCCAAAACTTTCATGCTGGAATCTGTACTCTGACCACTGAATAGAATTTGGTTCAAAAACTTTCATGCTGAAATCTGTACTCTGACCCCTGAATTGCACAGGCTCTTTCTACAAATGATTTCAAGTTAGGTCTCTTTTTGGGTTTTGAAATGCACAGGCTTTGCTTCTTCCCTAATGAAATTCTGTAATGCTGGACGGTGCTTGCTATCCATGGATTTAATCTGAGAAGGGCAAAGTGATCATGGCTGTCAGCTTTGTTTTGGAAACAGAGCCATTTCATTTTAAACAATGCCAAGTAGTTTCTTTTACTCAAAAACTGGCACCGTGACACATTCCACACACATAACCAATGTGTACATATTCCTCCTTCCCTTGTTCATATTGGGGGAAACGGTTCCATTTATGCATGTCAAACAGGATTCTCCAAATGGCTGAAGAGATTAAGCAGACAATCGAACCACAGCTGATTGTCATTTCACTTGAACACACACCAACATCTTGTTTACATCAGAAAAGCCCGCACATATCTGCATGGAAGCGAACCCCACTGAATTCCATGAAGCTCAGGAAGCGTGCACAGATCTGCAGCCTGAATTTAACTGCTATACAGAGAATGCTGGGGGAACTAATTTCATTTCATCCTAAAAAAACCCACCATAGACATTGTTGCTATTCTACAGCAAAATGACATTGCATATGCTTTTTAAGACATCCTATTCCTTCCCAGATCTGCATGAGAGTTTGTCTTCTTACAGAATTCCTTTTCCAAACCAGCAACATCCCCTGCCGCCCCCCCCCTCCCAATCCCCAGCCACTACGACAAAGGCTAAAACATAAAAGCTGGCTAGGCCGTCCCCCTTTGCTTTCGATATAGCTCCTCCCCTATTTTGAGAGGGGCTGAGAAACCTCATCCGCTGCCCTTTCAGGTATCCCCTTCAGAGGCCAACCCTTCCGAAGCAGGCCTTTCTGTCATCAGAGAAAGCGGAGGCACATCACGGGGACTCGGCACCCTCTCTCCATCACAGTTCCCCATTTCTCCAGCCTAAATGAATCTTTGCCACCCCACAGCGCGCCCCATGTAAGCATCCCCGGCGGCGCCGCGGCCTCGCCCGTCCCCAGCCATGCTGGGCAATGCATTATCTCGAGCCGACGACGAAGGCTGCGTCCCACTCACCGCCCGGAGCTGGAGAAGCTGCTGTGTGTGCGCCTTCTTCCGTGCTTTAGCGGGGGGGGGGGCAGGGGCTTCCAGCGTCACTTGCTTGGCCAAGCGCAGAGGCTGCCTGTGTGCAGCATGAATCATTCCTTCGTTGCTATGGGGGGGGAGGGGGGGGTCATCCGCTACGTCCTCCTCTCCCTTCTCCTCCAATTACAGGTGCACGAACGGTTGCCAGGAGTCCCAGAGGCAGACGCAAGCAAGCCCCAGCAGATGGACATTTCCCTCCCCACTGCTCTCTCTGGAGACATGGGCAGCAGCCTTCAAGCTTTGTTCACTTTTTGCCACTCTTCTGCTAATTCCCTCAATTTAATTTTTTTTTTTTCATATAGAGAGGGAGCCCTAGGCAGCACTAGTTTACTAAGAACTCCTTCATTTTCCATCGCTTCTTCTCTCAGGTACAAAGTGCTGGACCAAGGTTTGAGGTGAGAGGCAGCGTTCTAAAGTACAGGGCCAAAACTAGGGAAAGGTAAAGGATTCCCTTGCTCGAAAGCCAGTCGAGTCCGACTCTAGGGTTGCGGTGCTCATCTCCGTTTCAAAGCCGAAGGGCCAGCGCTGTCCGAAGACGTTTCCGTGGTCATGTGGCCGGCATGACTAAACACCAAGGCGCACGGAACGCTGTTACCTTCCCACCGGAGTGGTCCCTATTTATCTACTTGCGATTTCTTGCTTTCGAACTGCTAGGTTGGCAGGAGCTGGAACTAGAGACGGGAGCGCACTCCGTCATGCGGCACACTCGGGTCTTGAACGGCTGAACTACCGACCTTCCACAGCCTGCAGTTCAGCGTCTTAACCCCTTGAGCCACCGCAGGGCCAAAACTAGGGAAAACCCTTGTTCAAATGCCCATGGTGTGAAACACACTGAAAACCAGGTGGGTAGCCATGCTGGCCTGAAGCAGTAGAACGACGTTTGAGTCCAGTGGCACTTAAGACCGATAAAGATTTATTCAAGGTATAAGCTTTTGTGGGCAAGCACACTTCTTCAGATATTAGTGTGCTTGCACACGAAAGCTCTTATACCTTGAATGAATCTTTGCTGGTCTTAAAGATGCCACTGGACCCAAACACTGAAAACCAGTCATTCCTGATCGTTCTCAAATACCACTATAAAATGGAGAGAGGTGTGTGTACTCTCTGATTATTACTCTGAGCTCCCTGGAGGAAAGTCAAGATTAAAATTTCTCTACATTAGGCCCATACGAAAGAGGAGGACCCAAACATGCAATGGGTTGACTTAATAAAGGCAGCCATGGCCTTCAGTTTGCAAGACCTGAGCAAGGATGTCAATGATAGGACATTGGGGAGGTTATTAACTCACAAGGTCACCATAAACCAGAGTTGGATTTATACCCCGTCTTTCATTCGGAGTCTCAGAGGGGTTTACAGTCACTTTCCCTTCCTCTCCCCACAACAAACACCCTGTGAGGTAGGCGGAGCTTGAGAGAACAGCTCTGAGAGAACTGTGACTGACCCAATGTCACCCAGCTGGCTTCATGTGGAGGAGTGAGGAATCTAATCCGGTTCTCCAAATTAGCATCTAACTCACAAGGTCACCATAAACCAGAGTTGGATTTATACCCCGTCTTTCATTCGGAGTCTCAGAGGGGTTTACAATCACTTTCCCTTCCTCTCCCCACAACAAACACCCTGTGAGGTAGGCGGAGCTTGAGAGAACAGCTCTGAGAGAACTGTGACTGACCCAATGTCACCCAGCTGGCTTCATGTGGAGGAGTGAGGAATCTAATCCGGTTCTCCAGATTAGCATCTGCCGCTCTTAACTATTACACCAAACTGGCTCTCAGAAGCAGTTTATCACTATATATCACACTCCCCCACCCAAAAGGTAGGTGGCCCCCAGAGTCAAAATATCAATTTTCTCAAGGCATCCCAGTAAATTGAATCCCTGCCCCTGTGTTTTTGTAGTGTATGCTGACCACCACCGGGGGCCAGCGAACAGCCAGAGCTTGGCTCTGGAAGAACAATAGGGACTAGGCTCCTAGTCCCTCTACTGGGGAACCAATGGGAAACATGGCGGGAGATTCAAACCCACCAATGGTGACCAGGGGTGTGTCCCCAGGTATGTATATAGTTGGCCTGCCGGCCGTTTGTTCCTTGTTCTTGTTGTGTACCGAATAAAGCGTGCCATGCACCACGTCGTCGTCGGTCGTTTATCCATGCGGCAACCCACTACATAACAGTTTTGAAGTGGCACACCTATTCCCTACATTTCTTTGGTTTCACAGAACAGCAACGTCCATGCGGCAACACCGCAAGGAACAACCACAGGCCACCAAGCCATACAGAGTGTGGCACGGGCGGCGGCAGCACAAGGTGGCCGCACAGGGAAGCTGGATAGCTAGAAGGGCACCCTAACCGTTCCTAGCAGTACTGCACACATCAGGAACAGCCATAACCACCCCTGTACCCTGCCCCCAGGCTCCGACACCCAGTGTGCAACCCAGGAACCAAGCAGTGATGACGAGGAGAGCGACGGTGGCGAGGGGGCAATGGCGGTGGCAAGTTCCCACGGTAAGTCACAAGAGTATGGGCCACATCCTCGCAGGCCAACATGACGCCCACCCATCCCGGGCATGGGGCGTCAGGGCCCACTGTCCCAGGCCACATACATATGTCCCACCCCCAGGAACACCAGAGGGATCACAGGACGACGATGAGGGGGAGCCAGACCCAGTGGAGGCCGGCCTACGAGACCCAGAACGTGAGTGGGGGCACGGAACAGGGCAGGGCGGTGGGATCACATGGCATCCAGGCAGATGCATGCTGGCCGGGCCACCACAGCGATGTGTCTTGTGCCACTCCTCCCCAGGCCTGCCCCCAGACGTCAATATGGGGGACCTGACGCCTGCCGAGCGGGCAGCACTCATCACCAGCAGGAGGAGGCGTGTCTCAGCCCTAGAACGTGTCGCAGACCAGCTTGCCGCCCAGAACATGGAGGAGAGCAGACGGGACAGGAGGGCAGAGCAGAGGCGCCATGAGGAAGTGCTGGCCCTGCTGGAGGCCGGCAATGCAGAAGACCGAGAGGACCAGAGAGCGATGCGCCAGGCCATGGTGGAGCTGACACGTGCCGTCACCCTGCTGGTGGAGACCGTCCGTATCCGTGGCCAGCCCCCGCAGGGCGCCCCAGGGGCTGCAGCCATGGTGGCCCCCGCACTCGAGGCCCCGCAGGCCGCTCCCGGCACCCCCCCACGGTGGCCCCCGTAGTCCAGCCCCCGCAGGCCGCTCCCAGCACCCCCCACGGTGGCCCCCGCAGGCCGCTCCCGGCACCCCCCCACGGTGGCCCCCGTAGTCCAGCCCCCGCAGGCCGCTCCCAGCACCCCCCACGGTGGCCCCCGCAGGCCGCTCCCGGCACCCCCCCACGGTGGCCCCCGTAGTCCAGCCCCCGCAGGCCGCTCCCAGCACCCCCCACGGTGGCCCCCGCAGGCCGCTCCCGGCAGCCCCCCCACGGTGGCCCCCGTAGTCCAGCCCCCGCAGGCCGCTCCGGCACCGCCCACGGTGGCCCCCGCAGGCCGCTCCCGGCAGCCCCCCCACGGTGGCCCCCGCGGTCCAGCCCCGCACCCGTGTGCAGGGGGCGGGCTGCAGCTCCGTGGGCAGGGGGTGTGCGGCTGGCCGGGGCCTGGGGGCAGGCCGGGGCTCCGTGGGCAGGGGCCAGACCGCACGGACAGCAACAGCCAGGACTCTGGGGACAGTGGGAGGCCAAGCCGGAAAAGGAAGAAGACAGAGCTCTACTCCCTCCTACAGTCGGGTGCACAGTGCCAGCAGCCGCCCGCAGCAGTAGAGGGCGGTCCCTCCCACACCCTTGCGCCCACCCCTCCCAATCCGCCAGACAAGGTGTCTTGCACATGCCCAACCGCGTACCGAGCCGCGGCATGGCCCTACGCCTTCGCGTGCACAGCACTCAGATGGCCACTGTGGCCCCAAAGGGTGGGTCCACAGTGGCAGCCGTGTGGGACCATCGATGGGAGGCTGAGAGAGTGCGGCAGCCCATTACTCCCCGGTCACGCATGGACCATCTGGCCACCCTGGGCCACCATCTCCCTCAGGGGTGGGTGCCAACTGTGTACCGGTGGCTTGCAAAATAAAGTGCCTTACGATACAGCTGCAGGTGTCGTCGCCTCAATCCATGGGGGGAGGGGGGGAGGGGCGGGGAAGGAGGGGCCACACAGCACACAGAGACCACGTGTTATGAAAATAACTTTATACCCAGAAAAACCCAACAGTAAACAACAACAACAACAAGAGCAACAAGAAGAAGAAGAACAAGGTAACCCATGAAATCAGTCCGAACTCTCCCCATCTCCCTTTTCCCCCCTGTCCTCGGCCCACAGTGGGTCCGGCGGGATGGCCTGATGCGGACCCTCCACCTCCTCTGAGCTCATGTCCTCTGTCTCCGCCTGGGACAGGCCCTCCCCTGACGCCTCCCCCTCACTCTCGACCGCCCATCCTCTGGGAGCTGCTGGTGGCGGCGGCTGGGCCCTCCGTCTCTCCCGCTCCGCTCTGCGCTGCTCCTGGAGGGCCCCGTCCAGACGCAGCTCTATGAAGAGGCGGCGCAGCTCTGCCAACTGCCGGTCATGCCGTTCCACTGAGGGCAAGACATACGGAAGTATGGCTTCTGTTCAAAGCTCCCAAGTTTAATTTCTTTAAAAGAGAAGTATGCTGTTTAAGAATGGTGGCAACCTGATGAGGGTTACAGAATGGATCCAGATGCCACTTGAAGTAATTCATGGTCGGGCAGAACAAGCTCCAAAGACTGCTGTAGAACTTCACAAATAACTATCACCTACCACTGGGTAGGGAAATTAGCTGATTTCCATTTCAGTATAAAATATCTCCCAGGAAAGTCAAGTGTTGATGCTGATGCATTATCCAAGAAGAAGAAGAAGAGATTGGATTCATACACCGCCCTTCACTTGGAGTCTCAGAGCGGCTTACAAACTCCTTTCCCTTCCCCTCCCCACAACAGACACCCTGTGAGGTGGGTGGGACTGAGAGAACT